GTGGATTCTGTCTCCGTTGAATAACTCTATCAAGGTGGCCCCGTACGTGCTCGATTGGCGACATGTCAGGAAAGCGTGCAGGCCATGGCAGGACGTTGACGTTGTTGGCGTGAAAGAAGTTCTGGACAACTCGAGCGACCATGTCTGTCTGTCAGCAGCGTTCCTCGGTACGGTCAGTAGGCCCGGATACCATAGGCCCGTAGTCTCCTTGACACTATCCTTCGACTCACTGGGTGACCGAGTGCTGTTGACGCTGATGACGTTACCGTAAGGAAGCGGTTTCTAAGGTGTAACGTCCTCAGGTGGCGGTCTTCCTGCGCAGTTGTCACCCGGGGTCTGCCTGTCTGGGGCCTGTCTGAGGTCTGAACAGTCTGTTGGTAACGCCGACGAAGGTTCCTGACGGTCGAGCAATTGAAGGTTCTTGCAACTTGACCCGTTGTATCGCCCATTTGCAGCATTCCGATGGCCCTCTCTCGCTCTGCTGAAGTTAACCTCGGCATTGTAAAGTAGTTTTCTGCTGAAGTACGATCTACTCTGTGCTGTGAGGTGATTTTATACCATGCATGCACGTGCATTTTACCCTTACTTGCAAAACACGTGCATTTTGCTGTTTTCAATGCAAAGTTGTCAAGAGGTGCGTTTGAGGGCTGATGCTGGTCAGAATCGAACCCTTGTTGTTGCCAATAACCTTGGGGCAATTTGCATTTGATTATATTTTCTTATGTTAATATTATGAATTGTTTTGCTAGAGAAAGTTACTTTGCTCATCAGTATATATAATCACACGTCTACTAGCTATAGAGCTGAAACAATGCTGATGCGACGGCCAATGGGAACTCACACTACCAACGCCATAATGTCTTTAAACACTCTTTGATAGGTAAGTATGAAATCCTGGAAGGGACATTGTCACGTTATCGCCCTCTCAAAAACTAGCAAAATGAGGCAAAATTAACCAAAGCGCGACAATGCGACAACGCGATAATGTCCCTTCCAGGATTCCATAGGTAGGAGGTACCAGTTTTTTAAACCCTATGTACATGGCTTGTATTTTGTTATTTTGAGTTCAAAGATGTGAACAACCTAACTGTGAATGTAACATTTACATGAATTGCAAAGCTCCATCAATCAATATCGTCTATAGCGTTAATGGATTTAAAAGGGTAATAGATAAAAAACGGTAAATTTACGTCATTCATGCATATTAGCATAGTTAATGCGTTTAGACTGACGCTTTGTGACCAATAACCGGGACAATGTCTTCTAAAGGAGTGGGAAGAGCCTGAAGGAGACAGTGAATTTATGGATTTTTACTTCATTTTTCAATACTTCATCTTTCAATTTCCGCGTTTTACTTTCACGAGAACATGTCGCATTTACCAGAAAAAAGCGACAAAAATAAATCCACATTTACAAAAAGCTCTGGTAAAAGCAGAGTCCATTGTTGGTTATCGAGTTTATTGGGTGTCATGTAATACGAACAAATATATATTATGAGAGGCGATAGCGTGATGGTTTCAATTAGGTTTCCGCTGTACAATGCCCCTTTCTGTGATCATCTGCTTAATGCGTTTTTAGAAGGTATTTGTTACAGATTCAAGAATTGTATCTTGCAACCTGCACTTTCAGAATGTTTTCATTTGAAAATACATCGTTGACTATTTCAATGAAGACTATTTCATGGGATGTGACGTTCCGACGTTTTACTTAACGCTGACAAACGTTAACGCGAAATCTTTCATGACAGGGCGTAAGATAAATATGTATCAAAACTTGACACTTTTTAGCGACAGTTTGTTATTTGTTTGTTATTATATTAACGCCGCATTCAGCAATGTTCCAGCTTTATAACAGTTGTCTGTAAATTATGGAGAATGGACCAAACAATCAGCTGATTGGCTACATGAGCATTGATCTACGCATCTGGAAACGATGTCGTACGAACTAGTGTTGGGAATTGGTTAAAATCTCATAATTGATGATTGGTTCATAACAACCGATCAATCATCGAAAATAATTGGTTAACGTCATTTATCAAATTTTCCTTGTTATGTTTGTTAATGCACAAAAATAAAGAAAAAACATGTAGTTCTTATGAGTTTTTTTTTAGCAAATTGCACAAAATGCATTTGCAAATTTCACATCTTTAAAGGATGACAAGCATGCTAGGAACATAAATTTCCTTGAGTCTTTAAGGTAAATTCAATCCTGACTTGGAACGAGCTTGTACAAGTTGTAGTGCTTTTGAAATGTAACAGACAAAACCAACCTTGTGAAAAATATTGCTAATGCAAACAAATGTTCCAAAATCGTTTGTGTTCGATTATGAGAAAACATGATCGATTGCTTGGTCGTTTAGTTATTGCGACCAATCTTCGATTATTTCAATTAATTGGGCCACCACTAGTACGAACATCGTGTTTTGCCTGTGGTGTTTGTCGACAGGTATTATGAAATCACCTGTATGTCATTGTGCATAGTAATATTGCTTAGACTTGGTTTTATCATTAGAATTCTTCTCTCTCATGCTTGGATGTCTTAGAAGTTTTATAAACTACCTTAACAGTAAGTGAACATTCCCTTCGTAAAAGGAAGGAAAAATACACAGCTTTGACTGCACAACTATGACGTCACCAGAAGCGTCAAATATTTAGTAATGTTCACTACATCGCGATTCTTTTAAAGTCTAACCTATTTTTTACGACGTCTTTTCAGCGATATATATTGTAGCGTTTTGTGATCTGGTTAAAGGAAAAGAAACAAAAACTTTACATAACCATACAAGTAAAAGCCTGTTTGTTGTGCGATTGAAGAAAATGAAAATGAATTGGCTCCATATGACTTGTGCCGAAATAAACAAGAAAAAAAGATTAAGATTTTGTATTATTTGATATCTATGTGATTTTATAACTCAATTATGCTTTTGAGAAAATATATGCACATAGAAGACGTGTTTGAGAGATGAGTGAGCGAGTGAGTGAGTGAGTATGGTTTAACGCCGCTTTCAGCAATATTCCAGCAATATCACGGCGGGGGACACCAGAAATGGGCTTCACACATTGTACCCAGTTTGAGAGATGACACCAGCGCAGTTCCTTTATTATAATCGCATCACTTACTTGGAATGTATTTAGCCAAACTACAAACAAATCAACTGCGTTTTACTATTTCTTTTGCCCCTCAGTCACTTTCTTCTATTATTAATCAACCGGACGGTGGGGTAGCCTAGTGGTTTAAGCGTTCGCTCGTCACGCCGAAACACGAGTTCGATGCCCCACATGGGCACAATGTATCAAGCCCATTTCTTGTGTCCCCGTGATATTGCTGGGATATTGCTAAAAGCGGCGTAAAACTATACTCAATCAATCAATCAATCCTTAATCAAAACTGCATACTTACCATGATGATAATTATATTTCCTCGTTGCAATCAGTTTTTCTGTTGCTGTGAAAATATTCTTCTACACAATAAGTATCCGGTCTCTTCTTTTGCGGGTTGGTCTTGCAAACAATAATTGACGTTCATCACTGACGGTCGGTATATCCATTCATGTCAACTTTAATCACTATGTTGCATTTTACGCCCTATGATGAAATGCAATCAATAATCAACACTGATTGTTCTCAGTTATTCCTTGGCGTTCATAATTCTAAATCTGTGAATAAATATTTTAATCTCTTGTATAGTGTGGTAACACCTTGTGTGTTATCATATTGCGTAAGTGTGATTAAGCAACAACCTCTAAATTCTGCCACTTATGAACGGTATTGAAATGTTCGACTGTCGAGTGTTATTCTATAACGGATCCCCGCGTTGTAAGTATAACGAATTACTTATATAATATATTGTTTACTTTGCCGAATGATTTAAGTCCAACAGAGTCAAAACATTTTCTTATACTGTTTTATTTTCAAATTTTTACAAGCCATAATCAAAATTTGTTATAAAACTTTCAATCCAAGCTTCAAACTAAACTACCTGGCAAAAGAAAGTACAAACTTGTTTTCCAAACCATTACAAGCGTTAAAAAATAAGTAATGAAAACAGTCGTCGAAACACGAAAGGTCAAACTCCACTCTCAAATTGGTATCAAATATTCAAATCGAATAATTATTTTTGGCTTGCTTCATGTTTAGCTGTTATAACGTGGGAGTGTAATATACTTTGCCGGTAGTTAATAATGTTGTATCAACAGTTTCCTTATTTGATTATATAATGTGGATTTGATTTCTAAATTATATTCATTATAATCCTCAGTCAAAGTAACCTTAACAATCAGACACAATCAAATGCACTCTAATGAAATTCACATGTGATATATCCTTCAAAAAGCGTTATCAGCCCCTTTAAAGACTAATGAGATGTTTAAATTAAATCATCGTTCCTTAACCTCTCATAACCAGCTATTCAACTGTTCCGGAAGGTCCATTAGCAGTTCTAGCAGATTTTATAAGCGTCTTATTGGTCTGGAAATTAAAACATGTTTCTTCAAATAAATGTTCTTTTCTCCCCTTTCACATATCTGTTATATTTAGGAGAGCAAAATTGTAGCATCTTCCTCAGCAAGTGTCTCTTTGAGACTGGAACTAGGCCAAGGAAGACTTGAAGTTCCTCCTTTAGTTCACCTTCGCCAGATTATAGTTTAAATCCAGTTGCATTACATTCAAATATAATAAATTATCTGTATCTGAAGTTCTTGAAACAATATGATATTGTTATATTTGTACATTCTCCCACCTTGCGTTGTGTAAACATGTTTTTTTCTATATATACTCATGCCAATAATGGTTGTCACCCCTTCAATTTTTTTTATTAGGGTGGGGGTTGGGGTGGGGAGGGGGTGACAACTATTATTGGCATGAGTATATATTCACTCTGCACTGACTCAGCATTCACCTGATAAAAGCAAGATTTAGCTCTGAAACGTCGTATAAAGAATATAAAAAAAGCTGTTATCCATAAAAACGTGTCATGTATTCATATCTTGTTTCTTGTTTCAGATGCTGGCCCTATCAGTGTTTGGTGTAGTCCTCATTTTCGAGTCAATTTCCATGACAGGTAAGACTCCCTTTCTTTGGATGTAACGTAACTTATTGTCTAAGGGGCCAGAATTCGTTGTACAGAGTTGCTTCCCTTGAGTGTACCAGGACCTTGTTGATTCGAAGCTACGATTTGCCTAGATTATGAGTGCACCAGTTTTCGTTTAAGTGAAACCTCATTACCTTGGCATTTTTTCTGAAAAATAGCTGGGCGGCTCGTGATGATAAGATGTTGATCAAAGCGACGTTGAACCAAATTCGCCCACAAACTGACTCACCCACTTTCTTATCGCGACAATCCTGTATACACGTCCTTGTGTTACTATGGAAACCCGACTGGCTAAATACTCAGTATTCATATTCCAGAGGATTGTCTTTATTAGATAATGCCATTTAACTGACGGCAGGCTAGGAGATCTGAAATGATGCATTTCGCTATGCAGAGTGACTTCCCTTGGTCGTGTGAGGATCAAGTGTTAATACATTTTGGCAGATTATTGACACTGAATATTCTCTACTGACGTCACGATAGTCTTTCATTCATAATTAACTAGACATCGCGCGGTATAACAGAAATACAGTTTCTAAACCATTCCTCAAACTGTCTACAAGCTCCGGGTTTAAATTTAAGTCTCGGAATGCCAAGACGCACACAAGAATCCTTTATACGGTAATATATATCCACGACATACAGTGTTCAAGACAATACCACAACACCGTTTGGATTCACGGCTGTACACCAGTAACCCATGTATGACGTTGGAGGTGACGTTGTGAATGACGTGTGAATCGGCTTGTAAGAATCGGTGATGGTTTGTCGTATAGCGACAGATGTAGACCTTTGCTCTTGTATCAATCCCTCTGGTAGCACAAGGTATTTTAACTGAGTTTAGTTTAGATTATGTTTAAACGTATTTTGTCCTTTAACGCAAGCGTCCCCGTTCGGTAACTATACTAACTCAAGGCAAGACTTTATAACACTACACATGTGGGTGGGGCAAATTCTCGTTTTCACATTCCTCGTTTTCAATTTACGTAATCACCCACTTTCCTAGCATTTCCATATTTAGTAGGCTTTTGTCCCCATCATGAATAATAACGTAGGCACTTATCAACCTTCTCAGTGTATCGTATGATCAAAGAACGACAGAAGTTCCTCAGGCGTTCTTTGACATATTGATCAAACAATTCATCACACGCTGATCAAGGTTCAGATGCATAACACGGTACGGCGAGGTTGTAGTTGGGCTGAACGTGATACATGTGTATTTCGACACTGGACGTTTTTACCTTTGCACTTTAGACCAACGCATGCTCCAAAATTAAATACATTCTGGTGAATATGTCATTCAATACATTCAAAAACATTATACACTTATCTGTGAGAGCGGTGTTCAGTGGTCTTAAAGGTGTTTCCTTTCAGCAGGTTCAAGGATTATGTGTTTAACTGAGTTATCCACCCAATCTCATTCACTAACAGATCAAACTGAGACTTCAGTATAGATGTAATATTTAAAACATTTTTCAGGCCTTGATGGGCTAATACTTGAAACATTCATGGAAAGAAGACACTTAGTAAAATATGACACTTTGAAAAGAAAGATAAATTTACAATAGTTGTAGCAGATTAACTACATTATCTATGACGTTATATGTTCTGCAAGCAACGCTGAAACTGTTGCACTGATCATCCAACCGATTGTATTTATCAATTTTGTTAAAACCAACTCGGAGAGTTAAGTGTGGTCTCCACGGCAAGCCGACGTAAGAAGTCTGTGAAAGAGAGATCGCAAGTCGAATCCAATATGGCCGTCTCAAACAGACATTTTCGTATATGTTAAATGATGGTTTCGTTGTAGGGGGAACAGAACCATTTATACAGGTTTTGAAAGTTTCACAGATGTATTAGATGTATATTCTGTAAAAAAAGCTAAATGTTCCAAAATTTAGTTTTCGGACGAGCAGCTGGCGAGTCATACTATAAACTGTGTTTTTGGAAAACAATATTTCTTCATTATCTGCTTGTCCTGAGACTTAACGATCTGCAATTCATATATGCGCTGTCCACTTCGAGTCTGAAGGCTGATATATATTTTGGGACATAATCCTGGTTCTTGGGAACATTTGGTACCAAGTATGTACTGTTGGCATTCAAACATCCAGATGTGGTGCCCAAAATAATCATGACCTGATCACCTTCTCACGTTATCGACAGTCTTATGAATAATTCCATCGGTACAGAAATACCCATTTCCCTACAGACAAAACCATCGCCCTGAACTTTGTTTGTCAACGGCGAATCGTTGATATATTAATGATTGACGTCTGCCACGTTGCTTGTCGTATCGACGTCTTTGTTTCAACGTTTAGTGAATATAAATACCTCTCTACTGCGGGTGCTCACTGCGATTTCGCTGTATTATTCGTATTCTTGGTGAAACAGTACCCTTTTTTGTTTTTCATTTCCTTGATGTCCCACAGAACACAGACTTTATATGTCTAAAATAACAGTATAACGCAAGGCGAACGGTATGGCCCTTGTAACGAAAGTCAACGAAAACACTATCTGTTTCATTCAATGGATATATAGTTACGTGTTCACAGTCATATCCTTATCATTAATTAAGCTATGACTCTTTGTATCATAAATATTGCATCACCAAATTAATTTTTTAAGCGCCATCTTGAAAACTTCCCATGCATTGTCGGACTATAAAAAATGAGATTACACTTTCTCAGTAAGGAAGGGTTTCTAGAATTAAATGGATCAAGCACCATTCGGGAATCGAACCCTAATGATTAAATTAAGACAGCTTGTCACCAACACACAAAGTCATCTAACCAACACTGCAGATTAAACACAGTCTGACAAGTCTAGATCAGGTATATGGCTATTAGTATATTATGTATATTGTAGAGTAAGACAAAATATGGAAATAACAAATATATTTATAAATTTAAAAAAATAAAAATAAAACAAAATAATAATAATAATAGAAGTCTAGATCAGGTACGTTCTGTATCCTCCCATAAGTGTAATTCAGATTTATAGCAAAACTAATGACACCAAGAAATGTTATCATGAACATGACACTTCTTAATCATCAACAAACAAAGGGGTGTAGCCCCGCTGTAATTGTATTACGACTGACATACATTGTTTAATTGTGAGTGACACAGAGGGCTCCCTCTTTGTTTGAAAGCATTATGAACTGGATTTGGTCCAGAAAACCATGCGGACCTTTTCGTCTTGCATTGACTTTTGTATTTTTCTCAGATGGGGCAACTACTGCGGCGAAGTACCTCTACTATGTTGGAGATCAACGTATTGCAAACTGGTCGAATGCAGTCGCAAAATGTACAGAGCAGGGTGGGCAGTTGACTGGGGACATCGACATTGACGACTGGGAGCTCCTCTACGGCATGAGCAGGTACGTTGGCATGACAATAAACTCGTTTTTCCCTGGTGCATACAACTATAGACTGGAAAAGAGCTGACCTTTCTTGATTCAAGAAGTTACTCTACACTCTACTGCAACATACATGTTTTGAAATATGCAGAATATGTGAATAATGACTCCTTCACAACCTGACCTGACAGGAACTACCAAACAAGTCTACAGACAGGAACTACCAAATACCCACCAGACAGGAACTACCAAATAACCCACCAGTCAGACAGAAAGTACCAAATACCCACCAGTCAGACAGGAACTACCAAATACCCACCAGGCAGACAGGAACTACCAAATACCCACCAGACAGACAGGAACTACCAAATACCCACCAGTCTGACAGGAACTACCAAATACCCACCAGACAGACAGGAACTTCCAAATACCCACCAGACAGACAGGAACTACCAAATACCAACCAGTCAGACAGGAACTACCAAATACCCACCAGTCAGACAGAAAGTACGAAATACCCACCAGACAGACAGGAACTACCAAATACCCACCAGACAGACAGGAACTACCAAATACCCACCAGACAGACAGGAACTACCAAATACCCACCAGACAGACAGGAACTACAAAATACCCACCAGACAGACAAGAACTACCAAAAACCCACCAGACAGACAGGAACTACCAAATATCCACCAGACAGACAGAAAGTACCAAATACCCACCAGACAGGAACTACCAATAACCCACCAGACAGGAACTACCAAATACCCACCAGACAGACAGGAACTACCAAATACCCACCAGACAGACAGAAAGTACCAAATGCTCACCAGACAGGAGCTACCAATAACCCATCAGACAGACAGGAACTACCAAATACCCACCAGACAGACAGGACCTGCCAAATACCCACCAGACAGACAGGAACTACCAAATACCCACCACACAGACAGGAACTACAAAATACCCACCAGACAGACAGGAACTACCAGAAACCCACCAGACAGACAGGAACTACCAAATATCCACCAGACAGACAGAAAGTACCAAATACCCACCAGACAGGAACTACCAATAACCCACCAGACAGGAACTACCAAATACCCACCAGACAGACAGGAACTACCAAATACCCACAAGACAGACAGAAACTACCAAATACCCACCAGTCAGACAGAAAGTACCAAATACCCACCACACAGACAGGAACTACCAAATACCCACCACACAGACAGGAACTACCAAATACCCACCAGTCAGACAGAAACTACCAAATACCCACCAGACAGACAGGAACTGCCAAATACCCACCAGACAGACAGGAAGTACCAAATACCCACCAGACAGGAACTACCAATAACCCACCAGACAGGAACTACCAAATACCCACCAGTCAGACAGAAAGTACCAAATACCCACCAGACAGACAGGAACTACCAAATACCCACCAGACAGACAGGAACTACCAAATACCCACCAGACAGACAGACAGACGGGAGCTACCAATAACCCACCAGACAGACAGGAACTACAAAATACCCACCAGACAGACAAGAACTACCAAAAACCCACCAGACAGACAGGAACTACCAAATATCCACCAGACAGACAGAAAGTACCAAATACCCACCAGACAGGAACTACCAATAACCCACCAGACAGGAACTACCAAATACCCACCAGACAGACAGGAACTACCAAATACCCACCAGACAGACAGAAACTACCAAATACCCACCAGTCAGACAGAAAGTACCAAATACCCACCACACAGACAGGAACTACCAAATACCCACCAGACAGACAGAAACTACCAAATACCCACCAGTCTGACAGAAAGTACCAAATACCCACCACACAGACAGGAACTGCCAAATACCCACCAGACAGACAGGAAGTACCAAATACCCACCAAACAGGAACTACCAATAACCCACCAGACAGGAACTACCAAATACCCACCAGTCAGACAGAAAGTACCAAATACCCACCAGACAGACAGAAAGTACCAAATACCCACCACACAGACAGGAACTACCAATAACCCACCAGACAGGAATTACCAAATACCCACCAGACAGACAGGAACTACCAAATACCCACCAGACAGACAGGAACTACCAAATACCCACCAGACAGGAACTACCAATAACCCACCAGACAGGAACTACCAAATACCCACCAGACAGACAGGAACTACCAAATACCCACCAGACAGACAGAAACTACCAAATACCCACCAGACAGACAGAAAGTACCAAATACCCACCAGACAGACAGGAACTACCAAATACCCACCAGACAGACAGGAACTACCATATACCGACCAGACAGACAGAAAGTACCAAATACCCACCAGACAGACAGAAACTACCAAATACCCACCAGACAGACAGAAACTACCAATTACCCACCAGACAGACAGAAACTACCAATTACCCACCAGTCAGACAGAAAGTACCAAATACCCACCAGACAGACAGGAACTACAAAATACCCACCAGACAGACAGGAACTACCAAATACCCACCAGACAGACAGGAATTGCCCAATACCCACCAGACAGACAGGAATTGCCCAACCCCGCAAGACCGACAGGAACTACCAAATAACCCCACCACAAGGACAGGAACTACCACACACCCACCAGACCGACATGAACAACCACACACACACCAGACCGACAGGAACTACCAAACAACCCCCGCAAGACCGACAGGAACTACCAAATAACCCACCACAAGGACAGGAACTACCACACACCAACCAGACCGACATGAACTACCACACACACACCAGACCGACAGGAACTACCAAATAACCCACCAGACCCACAGGAACTACCAAATAAATTGAAAGACTAACACTAATGAATTATCTCTGCCTCCCCCCTCAATCAGCACCCACAAAACTTTACCTTACACGTTTACATTGTGTTTGACATTTAAGCATCTTCTTGGACGACAAGTACTTCTGGATCGGTCTGAAGAGAGAACCAAATAAGGACTGGAAATGGCTTGGTGGCACTGCCCTGGATTTGAACATGACGGCTGCCTTCCCCCTTCGGCCTGAATTCAAGGACAATATCACCTGGGACTGTGTACAGTGGAATGTGAAGGAACCTTTCTACGTCCCCCAAGCTTGTGATGTCCCTTCGCCTTTCATCTGCTCACTTCCTTGTAAGTACAAATATCATTAACCTTTGAAATATTCAGATCAAGATGACAAAGTAGCAAAATATTATAACTTTGTCATTTGACCCTACTAAGATCATTCCACTTCATACTTATTTGACTGAGTGGGGTAGCATAGTGGTTAAATATACGCTCGTTACGCCGAGGACTCGGGCTCAATTCCAAACATGGGTACGATGTGTGAAGCCCATTTCTGGTTTCATCTGCTGTGATATTGCTGGAATATTGCTGAAACAATGGTAACGGCGTTAAACTATGCGCGCTCTCTTTTATACGGGGAGCAAATAAATTAGACAGTATTCTGTCACAAATGGAAATAATTAACTTGTGTTGAATTAATATGGTGATCAATATTGATTGGATTTGATGGGTTTTCTTTTGTTTTCTTTTTCTCTAGCAACTAAGTGTGACTTCAAAACGCACGAGAAGAAAATGTTGAACGAATCAACGTTGCCAACTGTAGGTAAGTACCATTTTTTAATATATTATACATGTTATAATTATGAATTCAAAATATTTTAATTATGTGTATGTTCGTTAATAACATTCAAATATGCATCACCGGTGTGTGTGTGTGTGTGTCATGTATAATCCATTATACCTCGTTGGACATGGACGTCCCAGCTATTTAGCCATCGTCCAGATTTGGTTCTTGAGTTGATAATCATTGTAATTAATGCCTAGTCCTGGCTATACCCGTGCTTGTGGGTAAAGATGTTCGCCTCTCGCCACTACAATCTGTCATACCGTTACCTCAAATACATTTAAAACTCTTAAAAAGGCCCTGACCCCGAACCTCCCTCCGGTGCTTGTCGTCGGGATTTCCTGTTCTGAACTTCCCAGCTAACAATTTCGTGGTTACAACGTTATTCTCAGGACTCCCATTTACGTTGTCACAACGTTGTGGCCTGACGTTGTGATACGTCATTTTTACGTCGCCACAAAGTCTATTTAACGTTAATAGTTAAACAGTTTTGTGAACAGTACATATGAAACAAAGCAGAAATTCACTTTAATGTTTATTCGTCAAATTGCATGCTGTTTTGGCCGTGGGTTTAGCAGCTGTAGCTGAATAGTGATGAAAGAATTGGGGACACCAAGTTATGAGAAACTTTGTTACAACGTTGTGAAGAGCCCAAAGCATAACGTTTCCTCAAAGTAAATTTGCAACGTTGTTATCACGTTGTGACAAAACTTTATAAAATGGCGTTATGCTAACGTTGTGACAACGTTGTGTCATGACGTTACCAATCTACAACGTTCCCACAACGTCGTGTCATGGCGTTACCAATCTACAACGTTCCCACAACGTTGTGTCATGACGTTACCAATCTACAACCTTCCTACAACGTTGTGTCATGACGTTACCATCTACAACCTTCCTACAACGTTACGAAAACATTGTGTGTTAGCTGGATTAGATACGCTCTGAAGTCATGGCAGAACGAGTCGAATGAAATCAACACATCCATAACAGTTCATAATTCGACCTACTCTGTCAATACTTTCGTCCAGAATTAAGTCGCACTGATTATGTTGATTACGTCGTATTGATCAGAAGATCTGATACAGATTGAACATTGATGAAGTCAATGATCAGATGCCTTTATTGTTGTTCCAGTTACCGCAACCCCATCCACAAGCCTTCCTTATCTCTTGATCTCAAACAAGACCCTGGACCAATGCAAAGAGACGTGTGACACCTACGAAAGCAGCAACAATGAGTGTTGGCTGTACCAGTACGACAGTAACTCCGGCGCTACCAGCTGCACGCTCGTCATCAGTGAAGGCAAACCCGTCCTCATCAACATCCAAGGCGGCTCCAACGTCAACCTGTACACCAAGTACTGTGTCGAAGGTATAGTCGGAGGAGGGGAGATTAAGCCTGGGCCTCAGTACACCTTCAAGGTCATGTCCTAAGGGGACACAACTCTCTGGTTAAGACTACTACGTATACCTTAAAGCTTCAATTCTAAAGGGAGACAACTCTCCCCCTGTATACTTATCAGGTTATATTCTAAAGGGAAACAACCCTCCTCTGTAGACCTCAAAGCTTATATTTTTAAGGGGGACAACTCTCCCATGTACACCGTTAAGGTTATATTCTAAAGGCAAACGACTCTCCTAAAGTAAAGTGGCATTGTAGCGACATGGTCATTTGGAAAGATTTCTAAAATCAAAACACAGCCGTACTCCTCGAAAGAGAGCGATGACATCAACATAACTGACATTAGTACATCTTCAAGCTACAGTTCAACCGAACTAATTCAAACTCATAGTATCAAAGACATGAGGAGGGGAAGCGTTTCTTTTTTTACATCACATTTTTCCCCGGACCAACTTGCGAATGGTCTATTTTGTGGAATAATGCTTGAGAAAAAATCTGTTTCAAGCAATTCCTGGGACAATCTTTTTTTCTAAATACTCTCAAAACACCAAGATTGTCCATTGGTCGGCCCCTAAATCATGGAGGTCCGTATGGGCGTCCTCTTTGTATAGAAATGTCCAAACTAATGGGGTGTCACTTTAAGATGAAGGTGGAATTGTCAGGATAGACAGGTGACACACGTGCTGCTTATGGCAACGTATGACCTTCACATTGCATCTCTAAAGCTACTCTGACATACCTCAATGGCTCAACTGACATTCTGAAATTTTATTGTGTGGGAAAATTATATTTCTATTTGTTTGTTGTATCATATATGTTGTTAAGTCTGTGTATGTATATTTGTGCACTTGGTGTTAATAATGTTTCAGAAAAATATATTTTGCAAAACATGTCAATATATTCACGTTTCTGGGTGACATTATCATATCCCGATATGCTAAATTAGAGATGGTATCTGCTCTTTCGAAAAGAATCATTCCTGTATTAGACACATATTATTCACATCGTGGCTTACTGTATGTGCCTTAATCAACGTTGGTTAGAAGTTTTTGTACCAAGTACATTGTCCATGCTTCCTGTTCTTGTAGCGCTGTCACACTTGAATGGGAAACGCTTCATGCATTATTGTGATCGTATCCCGGTCGTAAAACTGTGTTAGATTGTCTCCCGATTGTCGTAACACGATTTTGGGCATCGCGAAAGGCATCGTTTCAGAAAGGGATTTTGTGCTTTGATTACCGTTTGTCTTTTCGTAAAGTCTTTGAATCATTTGTCAAAAGTTCACTGAAGCCGTAACACGAACAACGTTTCTGTTCAATATTTCAGTATTTCAATATTTACTCATTTTCGAAAAAATCATGTGTTCAAAATCTACCTATTCCTCTGTGAGTTGACCTTTGCCGGGTCCAGAGGCTTGATAGGGTCTAAGTGGTGATGAACGGAGACAATAAGATGAAGTTTACCCTGGAGGAAGTGCACGCAGATACTGACTACAAAGGTCTCCATAGGTGAATTGTAAAGTCTCGTTTCCACATTTCGTAGCGGTGGGGTAGCATAGTGGTTAATGCGTTCGCTCGTCACGCCGATGGGTCGGGTTCGATTCCCCACATGGATACAATGTGTGAAGCTCATTTCTGATGTCCCCCGCCGTGATATTGATGGAATATAGCTAAAAGCGGCATAAAACCCGACTGACTCACTCACTCTCTTCCGCAGTTGAAAAGTTCACCGACTGCAAAGACGGAGAAGAATGCATCTGCGGGAATGTAACGTCGAACCCGACGCCAGAGCAACTGGAGGAGATCTTGGAGGAGACAAAGGAGAAACTGACCGTTCCCACAAAAAATCTCTCAGCAACCATCCGGAAGAAGACCAGTGCGGCAGACGATCGACCATCCTCCCAAACCATGGGGTATTTTGGCATAACTATGATCACGGTCACCCTTGGAGGGCTAGTGCTGTTGGACTGTACCTCAATGCTACGTGATTTGAAAATTATGATGTACAATCTACAATGCGCCACAGGTGGTGGAAAGGATTTACCTCCCCCAACTACTCTTCAAGTTAATCTTCAAGGAGGTCCAAAACAGAGCTATGCGTGAATGGCACACTAAATGTACTGTATGACCAATGTAGGTGGAGACTGCGTGCAACTTCCTCCTTGGTTTTCTTCGAATTCTTTTATAATTTGATTTGAATTTGGAATATATTTAATTGATGGTAATATAAACTGTTGGAAAATAAGAAAAATGACGTTATTATAAACTGCTTTCCATTTTAATGGTACTCGTTATCACTGTAGATAGGAATTGACGAAGACGCAACATCTCATTCTAGATCTCAGTCTCAACCTTTTTCGGAATTGCTGTTTTATTTCTTTGACAAATATATATGAAGTGTGCAGGGTTTAAATTATCTTATATGCAGGATGTGATATAAACATTGATAGTTGATAAGCATATCCATGTATTTTGTTACTGCTGTTTTGAGATGTGTATATAGAAAGCTAAGGCAATCAAGGCCTACATTTTTCCAATTGATTATGCGGAAAGATGGATTTACGGGTTGTACATAGTAATGTTAAAGCTTTGCGAACAAATCAGTATGTGCACTTGCGCGGGCATTGAATATCAAATACGCTGTTTGGTGGTTTGTGGATTCGAACTGGTATAAAGCTAGCCCAGTAGGTTACCCATGCACGAAATATATTCATTTACATTTGCTGCTACAAAATGTCATCTGCAAACAGTAGATCATAAATATATACCCCTATGATCTTAAGCGACGTATGTTGATGTGCAGAGTTTCTTCCCTTGCCCGTTCTAGGCTCTGCTGCTCGTATTTTGAATCCTAGAAAAGCCCCAAGAGATCCGCTAGAGCTACAACCGTACAATTTCTTTCAATATAGTACAGAACGTCATTGCCAAAGAACATCCTCAGAAACAAATTCCATTTGGAAAACAGAGCTGTGAAAAGTATACTCATGCCAATAATGGTTGTCACCCCCTTCAATTTTTTTAATTTGAGAGGGGTGGGGTGGGGTGTGAGGTGTGGGTGGGGTGGGGGTGGGGAGGGAGTGACAACCATTATTGATATGAGTATATATGAATGGAAATCACCAAGTGTTCGCGAAGTGATACGGTCTACGTCATAAGAATCGACGTAGTAATTGGCTGACCGCAGTGACCGATGGGTGCTCTGACCACGTGTATTCATTATTACAACTTATAAAATGGTTGTACCACGTGTCAAGGCTAATCCGATATTCGATTCCATCTTGCAGCAATAATACGGTCTCGGTGTGGATTTTGACATAAGTGGGTTTTTTTCCACAAAAATGCTAGTTTTGCGAAAACTCTAAACAAGTAAGCAATTCAGTTTGATATATCGATCAGTGACCTCGTGGCAACGTCATTTTGCCACAGCAACGTGATGACTACGACACGAGGTGCACATAGCTTTAAGGGAATATCAAGTATTGTTTTCGCAAATGCATATAGGTCTTCATTAACTCTGCATATAGGTATGCATATAGGTCTTTACTTTTTAATTTGCTTCCTGTGACACTGAATACTTTTGTATGCTTTATTTATGCTTTAGTTTGAACTGCGATGCACAGATTCGCTCACCGTCTGGGTGCCGAGAGGGAGTGGTGTAGCAGGGGCGGATACAGCTTTTTGAGAAAGGGGGTGCACACTATTGAGAAAAGGAGGGGTGCACACTTCATTTTCACCCGAGTTTCAATGGTCATTTAACAAACTTTCAGCACAAAAGGGGAGGTGTGCACCCCTGCACCCCCCCTCTGGATCCGCCTATGTGTAGAGTTATTTATCGGGTACAGAGAGAAATTTGAGGTCTGGAGGTGGGGTGACCGAAGGAGACGTAATATACGGGTGGAGGGGCGTAGGGCGCAGGGAATATCGCGGAGTGTGGTGTCGGAGCATGTTCAAAATTTTCGGGATGGTGAGCAAGTTGATGATCAGGATTATCAGATTTATTGCTTCATTGGATCCATTGCTTTTCATGTTCTGAATGTCATATATTCAAACATGTTCACTATATATAGCTGCTAAATAGTAAGAGAAAAACCTATCTCCATTATTCGCCGAAAAGATTCCAAGACAACATTTTATGAATGGAGCAATGAAAATCAATGATGATACCAGGTGTTAATGCAAAATGGTCAAACAGAGGAACAACTGAATATGATTGACCATTTTGCAGGTAGTCTATTGCTTGATGCATGTACATAAGCTGTGTGTATTATATAACGAATGTTACTGTGTTGTTGACATCGGCTGATTGTTAGCTATTTGCTGTTTTATCGTTATCTTCAGCACGAACGATCTGGTATTGTATTAACTTTGTTATTGCTATTATGACGATATAGTATGGCGTGGTCTGAAATAAAACTAAAGTATCAAAACACTCTTTGGCATCACAAAATATGTACTGTAATATATTTAGAATTATTCCAATTTCAGACTGATTTACTTGGTAATTATATCCAAGCAGTATGTTCAAGACTAGAAATGCCATACTGAATTATCAAAACATATTTTTAAATTCTGGGAGTACAATAAAAAAATCACATATATACAGAATGTGTTTCGTCATGTCAATGTCATTTTTTCTCTCTGACATTATTAATGAAAAGAAAATGCGACCAGAATGCATGTGCGTGTAATCTCATTGCACCGTCTGTGGGATGGACGCCATGTTTTATATGTTCTTTCGCTGTCAAGAAGACCGGTTACGGCGTTATCAGCAATATTCAAGCTATGTGACTGTGGCTTGTGATCGAGTCTGGACGGAACCCAGGGGTTGATACAATGAGCAATATTCTAGCTATGTGACGGTGGACTGTGATCGAGTGTGGACTGAAGCCAGTGGTTGTTACAATGAGCAATATTCTAGATATATGTCGGTGGCCTATGATCGAGTCAGGGCGGAACCCAGTGGTTGATACAATGAGCAATATTCTAGCTATGTGACGGTGGACTGTGATCGAGTGTGGACTGAAGCCAGTGGTTGTTACAATGAGCAATATTCTAGATATATGTCGGTGGCCTATGATCGAGTCAGGACGGAACCCAGTGGTTGATACAATGAGCAATATTCTAGCTATGTGACGGTGGCCTGTGATCGAGCCAGGACGGAACCCAGTGGTTGATACAATGAGCAATATTCTAGCTATGTGACGGTGGACTGTGATGGAGTCTGGACGGAACCCAGTGGTTGATACAATGAGCAATATTCTAGCTATGTGACGGTGGCCTTTGATCGAGTCTGGACGGAACCAAGTGGTTGATACAATGAGCAATATTCTAGCTATGTGACGGTGGACTGTGATGGAGTCTGGACGGAACCCAGTGGTTGATACAATGAGCAATATTCTAGCTATGTGACGGTGGCCTTTGATCGAATCTGGACGGAACCCAGTGGTTGAAGGAATGAAACACGTCCAATCCGTCATCGACTGCCACCACAAATCAATTAATTCTCTCAATGGATCGAACCCGATTTCGATCCGTTTTAGGCGTCAAATGGTAACAGGTCAAATATAGTGATAATCACTACCACTATGGAGGGTGAAGAACGATATGAACTAAGCACACACCACGGTCTAAGAAAATCGACTTACCTTTACTTATTTAGCCAGAGCTGTACTGTCATTGAGAGTTTCAAAAGGAGCTATCTCAAACAAGCACAGGCTACTGGGGACACATTACAACACGAAAACCTCACGGGAATGATTCGTAATGCATTCATGCATAAACCTGCATGCATGCATGAAAAGAATTTAACATCAGTTGATAGCTTGCGCGAAGGGCAATTTTATATTCCGTAAAACAACCCGCAACAAACAGCTGTTTGTGAAGAAATTCGTTTGTCGTCATTCTTAATTGTCAAAATTAAACTGATTTATACTTAAACCTTTGGTGATAGTTCTAAAACTAGTTGGAAATTGCTTGGAATTTTGTTGATGCTCTTGAAGGACTGGGCCGTGTTCTCAATGACCACGCTGAAATACAGACGCTCTGTGGGGAAATGTGAGTGAGTGAGTTTAGTTTTACGCCGCACTCAGCAATATGGCGGCATCTGTAAATAATCGCGCCTGAACCAGACATTCCAGTGATCAACAGCATGAGCATATATTTATTGCAATTAGGTAAACAATAAAAGCAACAAAAACAATTTCTATAAACCTAAGAAATATCTATCAATATACGTTTATGATTCGAGAACATCACGCACCTTCCACATTACACCAGTCCTGATGGAGCTACATTGCTTGCCTGTGAAATACAGGATAGATTTCAAAGTCTTGTGTCTAACCTACCAGTGTTTCTATGGACAGGCACCAACGTATCTATGAAACCTGACACAGCCCTACAAACCAAACAGGGTTCTATGGTCATGGGACTCACAGCAGCTGGTAGTTCCATTATATAAACTTAAAACCTATGGCTACAAGGCCTTCAGCACAGTTGGCCCTCGACTGTGGAATGATCTTCCTGTTCAACTCAGAACTGCCACCTGCTTACACTCTGTCAAGTCCAACCTTAAAGCTCAAAACATTTCTGTTCATTAAAGCATATTCCTGATAAACAAATTTGTAGCGCTCTGAGCATACACTGTTGAATGTTAAATACTAGTATACGCCCTGCGACACCACACTTGTCACGTCAAACTGCAATAACCAACAATTTGGTTTTCTGGGAGAGAGGCCGAGTTTTTCCCCATTTCATCCCAGTTTATTCTTCATATAGAGAACCCTATCATTCAATATGTCCACTGAACGATATTTTGGTGGTAATATCTAAAGACAATTATCAACGATTCGGTCCTTAACCATACACGATCTCCAGCTGTTTGAGAAGCTAATTGCTACGAGTGAGTGAGTTTAGTTTTACGCCGCTTTTAGCTATATTCCAGCAATATCACTGCGGCGGACACCAGAAATGGGCTTCACACAATGTACCCAAGTAAAGAATCGACCCAGGTCTTCGGTGTGACGAGCGACTGCTTGAACCATAAGGTTACCACACCGCAACCTAATTGTTACGAATCGAATCCAGTGGTAACAATTACTACTTTGGAAAATCAATTAACTAAAGTCTAAAACTAATAATCTAAAAATACCTTCATTATTTTTTTCTATTTCCGTTACAGTATTGCATTTATGATTTTTAAACAACCATTTTTCCGATGATGAGTCAACAATGGTCCCTTCCAATAATGACATCCTACTGGAGAACGTCTTGGACTGAATCTCACTGCCATGCTCAAGTAGGTTTCTTCGTCTCTTCACTATCGATTGTCACCAAGTTTCTAAACCCTGATGAATTATTTACTTGTTTCCATGGTGATGTCACATTAGACGTATGATCGATATCCCCAATTGACAGGTGTATACCATTATTACCTCCAACATATTGTATTAAACTATTAGAAAAAGTCCAATTAAAAATACATGCTTTGGTGCCGTAAAAGCATTGTCATAAAGGACGTTTCACAAATGTTACCTCAAAGAACTAAAGGTTCGTTTGTGTAATAAATAAACAGCTCTCTATTACGTATGACTCATGAACGATAGATGATAGCTTAAAATATATGTTGCATAAAATTATCATATTTATATATAAAATATATACCAGATAATACTGAAGAAATGTAAGCAATCTAAACATTAATGTCAGACATGCGTGGTGTGTTAAAGACACATATGTGAGTGGGATCAGTTTTACGCCGCTTTTAGCAATATTCCAGCAATATCACAACGGGGGACACCAGAAATGGGCTTCACACATTGCACCCATGTGGGGAACCAAACCCGGGTCTTCAGCGTGACGAGCGGACGCTTTAACCACTAGGCTACCCCACTGCCCCCAACGAAACAAGGAAACACAGTGAAATGACATGATCAAATATAACTAGAGGATGTTTTGTGCCCGAAACCGTCCCGAAACATAACAGATTCAAACCGTACAACAG